AACATAAGATACTTTCGCTTAATGCCATGCTAAAAAACATGGCAGGCAATGCAATAAAATCGCCAAGCTTCACTAGAAAAGTTAGTTCATCTATCTTTAAATTACAAAATAACTATTATTTAAAGTGTTGCCTGAGATTCAAATTCCACCTTAAGACGCAAAAACATTTGGCAGCATCTGTTAAAATCGGGATGCCATCTGCCTGAGTTTATAAGTACATCACAACTTTTCCAGTGACTAGTGAGTGCAAGAGGACAGAAAATAACTGTGTTGATGTGTTGTTGAAGCCATCCCATGTCCCTCGTACAAGGCTGTGTGTGTGTTTGATGTCCTCTGCAGACAAAGGGACGGCTCACCCCCCACAGAACAAAGGCACACGACTCTTTCCATATAAACTCCAAATGGAAAGAACAGTAAAATATGGTCAGAGTGAGCAGATGTGCCTTAGAGATGACACCACGTCTTGTTAAAAGAGCTCACATGTGTCTGCTGCTGTTGGGGACATGCTAACAATCACTTACCGCTGGAGAACTAATGAAGCTGAGCACGGTTTTGGTTGAGTTTTTCTTTGCAGAGTACATCATGTCATGTTCTTGATCCATGTGCGACACTGTAAAATACAACACATTTGTGTGGCCCATTATGATTATAAAATTAAAGGCACACTATGCAACTTTTCAGCTAGAGGGTCTGTCACCTAATTATCTCCATGAACATGTTACTGAATGTTCCATAGTATGCCATATGTTAAGTGAATTACAGGTATTTTTATTGCTCAAAAATATCTTAAAACATGCATTGTCATTGTGTAATCGTCTCTCCACAGATCTGACCAGTAAGATGACCTTGTTGCGTCACTTGCTTGCCTGTTTAATGCCGTGCTGTTGAAAATTCTAGACAAAACAATGACATCTCCATGGAAACCAGCATGTGACAGAAAGTTACACCTTGCACCCTTAAGTGCTTGTCCCCATGGAGATGTTATTGCCTTTCCTAAAATGTTCCACAGCATGGCTTTTAACCTATCTATATATTTTATTGTAGAATATCTACACAAAGCAATAACATCCCCAGGTAGAATTAGGTGGTGGACCTCCATAAGAAAAGTTATACTCGTCATGAATGTGTGGTTGATCGTGTTATCACATTTGAAATGTCTATCAGTTGTTCTTAACCATTTCACACCAAGTACCAGAGTTGAACTTGGCCTACAGGCTTATAACAGGATTTAATCACATCTGAAATGGAACAAAGTCAGTTCCTGAAAAGAATCAAAGAAATCTTCAGGGATCTTGAAGAAGCCTATGTACCCCGAACAGTCCTTGAACCACAGTTTGCGAACCACTAACTGGTAAGTATTGGTATTACTATTACATATTTGAAAGTGGGACAAATTATATTAGTTTTCAGTTGCAGCACATCAAGTTCAGAATAATATTTGACAGTTGAGTTGAGTGGACTGTCAGCATACATTGTGCACACAAATGGTTAATATAATTTCATAAATTGCCTTAATTCTAAAATGACTGCTATCCTCTTTGACCTCAACATCCCTCCATCTGTCTTCAGAGTGTGCAAAGCTGTCAACAGTGGAATAAATCCATTTGAGGAACATGGAAAGTAGTTGTTAAATGAAATCACTTTGAGGTCAGAATTATTGAGGCTAAACATTAGGCTGAAGCATCAGAATCCTGTTTGATTTAGAGCATCAGTGTCTGGCCCACATTACAGAGCCAAGAATCCTGTCTTCACCACCACCAACTCCACTTGGCCCACCACTCCACACAGGTTAGTGCTGAGGGCCCACTGATCCTGGGCCAACGCGACCTGGCGCTAATTCCCTGTGGAAGCCACCCAGTCAGAGCAGCACTGCCTCAAAACCTCAACGTTTGTATGAACAAGGCCGGCTCTGAACGGGAACCCAGAGCCCGGGCCGGTAATAACAGTCGCTGGGAAAAGTCCTGACCATCACCCCATTCGCCCCCTCGTTTTCTTTCCCTGCAGGATTTGGGAGAACATCGAACACACTTCCTCTACAGCTATGTCGTATTTATTACAGCCTCCGTTTTTGATGGCCGGGGTCATGTGGCCTGCTGTCTATTTATCCTAGAGGTCATTGACTGCGTTTGGGCCAGGAGAGGAAGAGGAGGACGAAATTTAAGATGCACAAACTAAATTGGTAGCAAATGTATAGCCACTTGCCTCTTGGCCCTAATGTGATTTTCAAGTGCTCTGCTCAGTGCGCTCCAAGATGCGAGGACGGCTTGCCTCTGAAATAATATTTCAACAGTGGTTACAGACGCAAAACCGGCGCCATCTCTCAGCTTGGGCTGTTCCCACCAAAGAGCTGCATAAGGGATTTTCATTTTATTTCTGGGAAGATAATATGCCTTGGTGTGTAGCTGTATAGTGCTGGCCATAGGGTTGAGAGAAGCAGGCGCAGACAGTTGCATAGATTCTCAGACTCAAATGAAGTCCTGCTGTAGTGCTGTTGAGCAAGTCATTTGTACAATACAGCTCCAGTATCGCAGTCTAACCTGCTAATCCAATAAATATGGAAATCAGGACTAAGGACTTCTTTATTGGCCATTCATGTCCTAAACTACTACTTAAGTTTTAATGTGAGACCATTTGAGGCAATAGCACACCATTTCCACCGCCATTTTGTTAACACATTTCCTCTAAGTTTGAGAGGAATGCCTCGGAGATACTTAAATCAGCGCTCTTCTGCAGATAAACCACTGAAAAAAGATGACTTTGAATATCTTATCTTCATTTAAATGGCTCAGTGGAGGCCCATTTGCTGTGCGTTTTGTTGAGGCCTAACAGGCTCAATAAAAGTCAATGATCTGGTGAGCGGAGAAGAGCTTGTTTTCTTATACAGTCAGCATATGGCCTCCTCAATGTGGCTGCACACGGCCACACTTGTTCACTTCATTCTCTCCTTCAAATGGACTTCTCACCATCTGGACAATTATGAAGTTACACAATAGAAAGTTTCTTCCAGTAACAGTAGAGTCACCTAACTTGTTTGCTAATAATTCTTGGACTTAGAGTCCCTTCAAATGTTTAAGATGTTGGCTGAATAAATTATTTGATCTTTTGCTTTTACAACTATTTCTTATCCCTATTATATTACTTGATTCACAAAACAAGCATTAAACAACTAAATTAAAGTAGCATTAATGAACTATAAATGACATTATGGCTGAGCAATAATTATGGCAAAAATATATCAGAGTTTTGGACAAGATCAAGTAACTGTACTGTTTTTGTAACTGCAATCATCTGCTTCTTATGAAACTGCACACCTCACCTTGATTGGTTAAATCTAAATTGTATAATGAAGACTGACCAAAGGGAGAAGAAAAGTGCCTGAGCTGCTGTGTTAGACAGAGAAGAGTTCAAGGTATCACTGCTTCTCAAATGATTTAAGAGCATATCATCAGGATAAGAGTTACATTACATTTTTCTCTTCATATCAGGCAGCAATAACTTTCATACAGAGGATGGAGGGTGAAGTGTCTTGCTCTGTTCAAAATCACATTGTCTGTATGCACTGCTCAGAACTTGCCAACATTTTGGTTTCCAAGTGAAGGGCCTACCCACTGAGCCACTACCACTCTGAAATATGCAAGGAATAGACTGGGACACTTTTCAAAAAATAGGCCTATAACTATCGAACCAAGATCTACTAGTATGTAGTCTTATATTAACCTTTTTGTATAGATAAACCTTTTAGATGTGGATGTGTTTCTCATAATACAACTTAATTATTTTAAACTGTATTATAAAATGCATGCTGTGACAGTGAATTCATTCATAAGCTCTGCATAGCTCAGTGTGTTACAACACACATCCCCTTAGGTTATAAGCAAAATGAATGATGCCTTTCTGAAGAACAGCACACATCAAACAAGACTCTGAAAAAAATTACAAATAATACAATGGGGATTTATTCAGGAGTGGTATATTGTCACTGAGTGTTATCAGTCCATTAAGAAATCGTCTGTACATGTTTTTTACACACTTCAAATGGAAATCTACAGTGATTAGCTTTAAGGCCTTGTGTAATAATAATAATGCCTTACACTTGTAATGTGCTTTACAGATCTGTCAAAGCCTCTCAAAGTGCTACACTCTAGTCATTATTTAATCACTCAATACTACTTATATAGTAGTCACAGCTGCCTTGAAATAAGGCTGTCAGTCTGTACCATCGGCTCTCTGACCACCACCAATCACTCACTACTTCATACTGGGCCATGTGGGTGAAGCGTCTTGTCTAAGGACAAGATGACAGAATTCGGTTCAAATTGAAATAAATCCAGCGACCTTTGGGGATCACTGCTCAGTCCACTGAACCACTGTTAAAAGGTTTATGTATTTATGTACAGTTATGGGTAGGCTATATGTTTGTGGTGGTGTGATATGGGAAATGCGGACGTGACTTACAGCTTGTTCTGTTGTATAAACAGATGAAGGCTCTGGCAAATCAGATTGACGTTTGACATTTTGCCAAGGCATTCACAACTTTAGTGTTTTCATAATCCATCATTGTCATGTGACAGAACTTCTTGGAAGAGATAATATCACCCTGAAGGGGTTCAGTTTCTCAACATTCATTTTTTGAGCACTAGAGGGCAACAAAAACACATATAAAGAGAGATTAGAAACTTAATTTCCAGGTTTGATTTTTGCTTATAGTTTAACTATACGTTCAGTTAATGGTATTAATTGAATGTAAAGTTAGATTTAGGTGTTTGTAAGGATAGATTAAGAAATGTAGGGTTAGTGTGTGAAGATAAAGAAGATATGTGCATTTTGTGGTTTGTGTTTTTGAGTGCCCCAACATCTATTTGATATACTGTGCTGCCCTCTTTTGGAAGATAAGTAAGCATTCAGTTGATATTCAGTAAAATAGGCAATTATGGACATTTGGTCAAATAAAGTTTGTATAAAAAAAATAAAATAAAATAAAAAAACACATGAAAAAGTACTTATGTTAATGGTAATATGCACACCATTTCACAAACCGTTTTTATTACTGTTTTGTTTTTAAAAAATGCAATAAGAGAAATGGACATTAAATTTTCACTTTCATCCATCATAAACATTTTCACTTAAAATGATGGGTTTTTGGTCCCCGATCTACCTAGAAACCTATAGGTTTGTGGTGTATAACCAAAAATTTGACATTTGGTTATTAGTCATTCATAATCAGTCACTGTCTGAGGATTGGCTGCTGCTTGACGAAGAGGAAGATTCATGTTTTCTCTTCTTATGCTTTTTTTTATCGTGTTTGCTGTGGTCCTTTTTATTCTTTTTACTTTTCTTTTTGTGGCTTTTCAGTTTCTTCTTCTTGGATTGCTCATCACTGTCAGAGCTGGATCGGTCTTTCTTCTTTTTCTTTTTTGGCGTCTCTTCATCACTTGATGAAGATGAGGGGGATCTGTGAATAAAAGGGCTTTTAAAATATATCTGGAGTATACAAAAAGAGACACACATAAAATTTCAACTTTTCAGGAACTGATAATTTTATTTTTCATTTTCAGAGGAGTCCCGCTGTTGAGGGGTTGTGATAGATTAAACCAAAAATCTCAAAAAAAAAAAACTTTTTCAGACACAGGGAGAAGATGCTAACTCCAAAGAAGAAAGGTCCCACACTGCCTCGGGAAAGGAACACAGGACCTTCTTGCTGTGAGAAAATGTTATGGACAAAATAAAGTAAACCAAAAGCTTAAGTGGGCATGCCAAATGAGACCTCAAAATGAACTCTGGTTCAGTAATAAGGAAGTAACATGACCGAATGCCTTGGTTTTTGTAAATGTTGGAAAATGAAGAAATACTGTTTATGTGACTGCGAGCATAAAACATTTAATAAATGGGTGTTATTACTGTAATCAGCAAAAGGTTATGCAACCTTACAATAAATGTTATATTGCTTGTAATACATTCTAATGTATTTTGAGGCTTCATTTTGGTGAAGCTTTGTGCTGTGTGGTTGTGGTTGTAATTTTTCCCAATACTAAGAACACCAACCACTGCATGGTTGACAACAAACTCCTGAAAGTGATTATGATCAACAAAGTCTTGGTTTGTATTGGTAACATTGCCAGTAAATCCCCCTTACTTAGAGTTTTGCCTCCTGTGCTACTCTGTGGGAGAACCCATACCAACTTCTCAAAGCCTGATTCCGTCAGAACTCAGAAGCTAAGCAAGGCTGGGCCTGGTCAGTACTTGGATGGGAGACCACTGGGAAAATCAAGTGCCACAGCAGGGTGCCAGTCGCAAAAACTGTGGTTGTGTCCTGAGGCAAGACATTTCACCCACATAGTGTGTGTGCATGCATGTGCATGTGGAGGGACTGACTGGCTGGCAGCTTCGCTTCCGTCAGCCTGTCCCAGGGTAGCACAATACAGGGTAGTACAATAGAAGGCTACCACTACTGGTTATGCAGTAAATGAATAATGGTTTGTAAAGCATCTTTGTGACAAATGTCTGTGAAAAGCGCTATATAAAGTCTTACTTACTTTTTGGTGCATTTAAAAAGTACAACTCTTAATGCATTTGTTTGGTCTAAACTTAAGAGCAATGAAATGCCTGAATTACACGTTATTAAATAATCAGTGCCTGTGTTGATATCAATTTGGAAATGCACATTATATAAAGAAAATATATGTATTTCTATTGCTACTGGGTGCAATGCTAATTTTGACAGGATAAGATGTGACACCCTGTTATATCTGTATTTGTCAGCAGGTGGCTGTATGTAGCATTATTAAAACAAGACATGAACATGAACTGACTGAAATCCTCAGTGGTTCACCTGTCTTCTCTTGACCATCATTAGTTACAACAACTACAATGAAGTAACTTTAGATTTAGATCCTCCATAAATGCTAATTTGTATGTGTAAAAATATATCACAAAATATTCCAAAATGTATCCATATTCATATGAAAATGCATGAATAAGTTTATTGCTCTGTGGTTTGGTTTAGATTAATTTAAATCTATGCTAAATTATTCCGCGATATTCTAATGAATTTCAATTAGTTTTGAGTTAACAGTTGGTCAGTCAAACAAGACAGTCACCTTTTTCTCGACTTGCGGTCCTTGCTTTTCTTGCGCTTGAGCCTTAGTTTTCGGTCATCGTTACCTATAAAAAGAAGATAAACACTTGAATGCGCCATTTTTTTGAATATATCAAACCCACTGACTTGCCTTTGCACTTGAGACAGCTTTTTACTTAATTTACCTTTACGTTGCCTCTCGTTGATCTGCACGGGCTCATCGTCTTCACTTTCCTCTGTGCTGGTGCTGCTCACGTCCAATACAATGTCTTTCTGAGGGTCAACTCTTATGAAATTTCGGCATTCAAAAGTCAAATGCCCCGCTGAGAAAATGCCATAATAACACAATACCACATGAGACATAGGTATGCAAATATATGGGTTAAAATATTATACTGAAACTTACGATATCCACATTTCTTGCACCCCGCTCTGATGTTATCTTTATTTGGTCCTATTAACGATAAAAACATGTGGTAAGTTTACTGTAATTATTTGTTCATTATAATTTCAACAAATCAATGTTCATGTTCTAATTACCCTGTTCTAGGCCCGTGATTTATCTAGTTTCTGTATTGTTACAAGGACATACGAGTAATAAAGAGTAACTTAATATGTTTGGCAACTTACTAAAAGTATTTGATCGTTGTTGCTTTGTTTGCTTATGTTTTCACTACTATTACCGTGTCTAACGCTTTATGCTTTATGAAAAATGCCGTAAAACTTTACCTGGAACATCCATTGATTACTTAAAAAAGAGAAAAACGTAGAGAAATCGTACAAAACAGTTGTCGCTGCGAATGTGTGGTCCGTGATCAAAATAGACCCGGGAGGAAACATCGAGAAAACTCTAGAGTGCGCTACTTGGTTCCGACCGAAGTGAATAAAAATACACAAGCGTCCTCTACTGGACTGGGGTTGGAATAGATTAATCCAGCAAGAATGTTTTGTTTAGGCTTTGTTTTTTTAATCCCTTTGACAGTAAAATCTAAATTTCTGCACAAATTCCAAAGCTTGACATGACTCAAGAAACAAATACTCAGTTAATGTTGGATCAACCTTATATTCAATTTCAAGCCTTAACTCTCATATCAATACTACAAAACACTTTTTGCAGAACTTTAAACGCACACACACACACACACACACACACACACACAGCACACACACACACACACACACACACACACACACACACACACACACACACACACACAAACACAGATTGCAATTGTAACACTGTCTTTGCACAGGCTGAAGTCTGTGTACCTGAATAAGGACAAAACTGAACACACAGGAATTGCAATATGAATAGATTTTATAGACAGACATAGGCTTTGAGGTTTAGGTCAAATACAGATACTAATTGCTAAAAAGCATAGGATTTGAAAATGGTGCTTTTTTGTTTCCTAATTGATTGTGTGATATTTTACACATATTTATAGCATTTGCCTCACTCTGAAACCATCAGAAACATTGGGATACTGGTCCTACAGATCTCTGTATTCCCTGTATCCCAATCTGATGATTGTGTTTATATTTTGACCACAAAGTGTCCTTTTTACGAGTCTGTTTTACGTTTTTACACTGTTAACTTTTTCAAACATTCTGAACTGTTTTGTGTTTTGTGTAAATAGTTTTTGTTCATATGAAGTAAAGCAATTTGGGTTGCATGCTCTGGAGTGCTTTATAAATAAAGATTGATTGATTTTGCTTTAATAAGGTTTTTCAGATGCTAAAATATGATGAGGTCACTCCCTGATAGGAGGCAAAAGTCAGTGCCATTGATTTGAAATTATAAACTCATTGAATAAACCCATTCCATCTTCGTCCGCTTATCCGGGGCCGGGTCGCGGGGGCAGCAGCCTAAGCAGGGACTCCCAGACTTCCTTCACCCCAGACACGTCCTCCAGCTCTTCCAGGGGGACCCCGAGGCGTTCCCAGGCCAGCCGAGAGACATAGTCCCTCCAGCGTGTCCTGGGTCTTCCCCGGGGCCTCCTCCCGGTGGGACATGCCCAGAACACCTTCCGAGGGAGGCGCCCAGGAGGCATCCGGAACAGATACCGAGCCACCTCAACTGGCTCCTCTCAATGTGGAGGAGCAGCGGCTCTACTCTGAGCTCCTCCCGTGTGACTGAGCTCCTCACCCTATCTCTAAGGAAGCGCCCAGCCACCCTGCGGAGGAAACTCATTTCGAGTGCTTGTATCTGCGATCTCGTCTTTTCGGTCACTACCCAGAGCTCATGACCACACAGACTTTATGGACAGAATTTCTAGGCACAGCCAGGGGCTGGAGGGGGTCCGGTTTGGGGACCACAGGATTTCATCCCAGCTGTTTGCAGACGATGTTGTCCTGTTGGCTTCATCGAACCAGGACCTGCAATGTGCACTGGGGCGGTTTGCAGCCGAGTGTGAAGCGGCTGGGATGAAGATCAGCTCTTCCAAGTCCGAGGCCATGGTTCTCGACCGGAAAAAGGTGGCTTGCCCTCTCCGGGTGGGTGGGGAGTCCTTGCCTCAAATGGAGGAGTTCAAGTATCTCGGGGTTTTGTTCATGAGTGAGGGGAGGATGGAACGTGAGATTGACAGGCGGATCAGTGCAGCTTCGGCAGTGATGCGGTCGCTGTGTCGGACCGTTGTGGTGAAGAGGGAGCTAAGCCGAAAGGCGAAGCTCTCGATTTACCGGTCAGTCTTCGTTCCTACTCTCACCTATGGTCATGAGCTCTGGGTTGTGAATAAACCCTAGAGAAGTTATATAATAACAAATATCAGTTTTAACATTGAATATTAATTTTAGCTACCCCTGATCTGTATTAAATTATACAGAGTGTGATGCTGTCTGAAATTCAGCAATAGTGTGTATATGTTCATTTTTGTGTTACATGCCACAGCTTACATTGCAAAACTTTTCTGGTGGAGGCTGCTTGTCTTTGGAGATGTTATTGCTCTGTGTTCCACGGTAGAGATTAAACCTATCTATCTCAAGAGAGACAACTTACTCGCTACATTATAGGTTAGAACTATGGAGAGGTAGAGCTACTCACAAAGAGAATTGTTGTATTTTTGAGCAACAGAAACACTTTTCATGAATAAATGTTAGATAGGTGTGTTTAATGCCATACCATGGAACATTCGAGGCAAACCAATAACATCTCCATGGAGACGGACTCTCCACCAGAAATTGTGCAGTGCACCTTTATGCCATGCAATGCACCTTCAAATAATTTAATAATAATAATAATAATAATAATAATAATAATAATAATAATATCTGCAAGCAGCAATGATTGGCCCTCGTGTGCATCAATGCTGCTCCCCACAAACGGTGCACACTGCAAACAGCGCATCCTGCAAACAGTGCTCTTTGCAAATGCCGTCCTGCAAACGCCACGGCCTGCAAGCGCAAATTTTCACTGAAATTTGTGTTCATATGTGCAAATGGGAGCCATTTATATAGATGCAAAATCCCATACATTTTGTGCATTTTTTGTGGCTTCGGTGCACAGAGATCGTAACCCAGAATTTACACTAGGAGCGTCAGCGACACGTAATGCAGGCACAATTGCATATGTGTATACTTTCAAGAGCGTCAATTTACACCAGACACCAGACTACGTGTATTCTCACATTTAAACACTAAACTTATCATTTTGCTTTTGTATTCATTATTGATTGGATGAATTATGTTTTAAATCACAATCACAAAACCTGACAACAAGAGAGACGAGGTATTGCAGTGATAATAAGCCATATCTGTGGTGCTCGCATTAATTATGCTACTCAACATTTAACTTTGGTTGTCTGCACCACGCGCCTTTTCCTTCAAAAGTTGTTTTAGGAAAGTTGCTGTCTGATGTTCTGAAGTGTTTTATATTGATCCTCCACAGTTGTAAACTTTCTGTAGTCCATCACGAGTCATTCCCTGAGTGTTTACGTGACTGTGGTGTTTTTAGAAAATGTATTTTGAAAGGGCATTGGAAGTTTATTTTGACACCACATATTTATTTCCTGTCTTTCTCCTGGAGACACTCTGTTGATGCTGAAAAATTTGAACTCCAACCTAATTTGTGAGGTGCATAGCGTAATGACGGCAGTTGGATGCACGTATGACACTGCTGGTGTAAATTGTCTGACCAGTTAAAATGGAAAGTGATACACTGTTCAGGTGAATGCCCTAGGAGTTCGTAAAAGTACGACATTTACAGAAAATGCATTGCACAGTTTAACACAATATTGCTGACCCCTGGTGGAGCAGACGGTGTTGGCGTAATAATATTTTTTTACTCATCTTGTCATGATCTACTTCTGTGTCAAATTTTATGATTCTAGGTGCATTTATTTATTTATTTTTTTGCCACATTCACAGTTAACACATATGGGCATACAAAATATATATACAAAATATATAGTCAGGTGTATTTACATATAATGTATAAATGTGTGCTTTTGTGGGATTATAATTTAATATTGTGGAAAAAATAAAAATTGAAGCCTAAGGGCCTGGCCACACTGCACACATATTTTTATTTACACATATTTTTTTAGAATGCATTGAAAGTGAATGAGGATGGCCACACTGCCAGCGCCTGGTGTCCATATGGAGCAGCATGTCCTACGTATGTACATTTCAGAATATAGAATCCAACCTACGATAAAGATGATCTTCATCTGACCTGTACTAATTTTATTTATGGATATTTTGCCTGAAACAGTAGGCCTGCTCACTGCCTATGGCTCATGGCTTCACCAGTAAAAGTCACTTGTGGTTTTTGCAAAGGGTTAATTGAAGGCAACAGTCAGACGGGCAGATGGAAAACATCGACTGATGTAAAGACCCCAGACATGCTGTCATCATAAAGTGACTGTGGCACATACTTACAATATATGTGCCTGCACACACACACGCACACACACACACACACTTGTGCTGGGACAATAGTGAAAACATAATACAGCAGTTAATATTAAAAAGCAATAGGAAAAAATAACTACCAGTCAGACAGACTTGTAAATGTGCTCCTTTGTCTTTGCACTACAGTAAAGATGTTTTCACATATTTTACTGATCCAAGCAGCAGCTGTCATTTGCAGCACTGGCCTGTTGTTATCAGAAAGGTGATTCTTTGAGTCTCTTGCATAATGGGACGGTAAGGATAATGCCATCATCAGCACTGGACTTTAAACTTCTGCTAGTTACCACAGTTTTTGTGCACTTCCAGTAATAACTTCTATTATTCTGCACTTTTGTAACACACCACAACATGACAAAGTGGCCCTACAAGCATTGCCCTGTTTTGATCACACAAAAATAAATGTTGTAATCAGTTTTGCCTTTTTTGACATGAGCCATTTCAATCAAGGCACATTCATAATAACATAAACCAGATAGCTAAGTCTACTGTATATTTTGCTATTTTCCGGAATACAATTTCAGTCTCAGACAGAAAGCATGCAGAAAATTAACACTGATATTTAAACTAAAAAGAAGTATGTCTGCTAATCCCACCACAGTCTCAGTCAGCCAGATAATTTACAACATATATTGAGTTACATTCATATAGTCTGGACTTCTTTTCCAGATGTCTTTTGGGGAGTTTATAGCTGTTTTTTCATAAATGCATTCCACTTGAAAGCATTTTAGTTGGCTCATATAGATTCATAACTTTCTTACATTTAATATGCCCAGCCCTAGTGTATGTCTAGGGTTGTTTGTATGGGTTCAACAAAAGGGCAGGGTTTATGGAGACATGAGAAAACCAACTCAAGTTCTCCAGCAGCATTAAGGAATGCAGAGAAATCTAAAGCCTACAGCCATTGTGGATAATGGTTAACTTTGTTTGCTAAGGGGTCCGGTTTTAT